ATTGATTGAAAAAGATAAGTGTGTAGATTAAAATTCTTACTGGGGTAACTTTTTACATGTTTTATTATAAATGACATGGTCATATTAGAATTTCTTAATTTTTTTTATAATTATATGATTACTTTAACAATTTCCCATTTAATTTTTTATTTTATTTTTGAGAGGGTTTCTTATCTTTAATTTGTTAATCCATTCCTATTGGTTATATTTTATCATAATATTATGAATATATATATATATATATATTGAATTCTAATTTAAATTTTTCTTGTACCTAACTAATAAAAATTTAAAATATCCCAAACAACTAATTAATAAATAAAAATAAATAATGCAGAGTCAACTTTGCATTTGGTCCTGAGGCTTAGGGGTGGAAAGGTTGATAGATATGAGCCAAGTCTCAAGTTATTGGCCCAAAAATACAAGCAGCATAAACTTATTTGCCGCAAGTAAGATTTTTTTTTTTTTTGTCAATAAACTTGTAAATATTATTTGATTTTTATAAAAGCTTATTTATTGAAATTATCTGATTTTTTTTACCATATTTATCTTAACAATTTTTGAATATTTTTTTTAGATGCTATGCCCGTCTGCATCCCCGTGCTGTCAATTGCAGGAAGAAGAAATGTGGACACTCCACTCAGGTATTTATTTCAACTCTTATTTATTTATTTATTTTCGGGCAAAATTGTAATTTTAGTCTTATTGGTTTGATCCCATAGCGTTTTTAGTCCTAAGAATTGAACATTTTCGCTCTTTGGTTATGTGGTTTTAAAATTCAATGCAATTTAAGTCATTTGGAACTGAAAATGCAATTAAATTTAAAATTACTAAGGGTGTTTAAGTCCTGTAATTTTAAATTTTAAGTCCTGTAATTTTAAATTTTAAGTCCTGTAATTTTAAATTTTGTTGCATTTTCAGTTCCGAATTACTGAAATTGCAGCAAACTACTAAATTACAAGATCAAAAGACAAAAAGTCGAAATCTTGGGACTAAAAATGCTACAGCATTAAACCATCATGACTAAAAATGCAATTTTGACTTATTTTAATATGCATCAACTAACTTCAAATTTATTTGACTTATATCAACTAATTAATCTATTTATACATATATATATATATACATATGAACCAACTATAATAGTTTGATTTAGAAATGTGACAATCATGGTTTAATTTTATTTTATTTTATTTTATTATTTTTTTTCTCCAGCTGAGGAAAAAGTCGATGGAGAGCGCAAACATATGATGACTATTGCATTACAGTTCAAATTTCATCAATCGTTTAATTTTTTGTTTATTAATTTTTTTACCGCGTAATAATATGTGGACTTGTCTATGGTTCACCCTTAGTGATATCATTGTAGACCAAACTTTGGAGTCTTCAGCTATGATTTCATCATCTTCACGTGTTCTTAATTTGGTTTTATATAGACTTTTTATTTTTATTATTAGTTGCAATTTTTGTATAACATCGTATATACTTGTTTCCTAGAACATTAGTCATGAATGTAAGCAAAATATGGGAGGATTTCAATCGAAATTAGAGTCTTTTAAGGGGTGATTGGATATATGTTATTTAGGGATACGACTTAGGTTCCTAAAACTTGATTCAATTCAATTAAAGTTGAAGACGGGCGAGTAGTCCGAGTTAACACAAGATATAGAGACTGTGCAAGTAAACGAACTTTAGTCTTGCTAGGTTTACTTTACTTTGGATGTTCGTTCTGCCCAACCGTGGATTGTAGGTCGATTGGGTATGATAGTCATTACACTGTGAGATGATGACAGCTAGTGTCGGGCACTTAGGTCGGTTGAAAAATGTTAAATCATATTTTAACATGTTACGTGCCTGTCAAGTCGAGGTTTCAACATATATAGCATTGCATGTCTGTCATGTCAGCTAATCAGAGTTGTTGTAGAAAATTATTGTTTTTACTAAGCACATAATAAATTACCACTTTAGATCCTTCTCTTGAGAAAGGTGGTTCGAAATTTAGAATTTGTGTCAATCACACTATAAAAAATAAGATCCGCAACATTCTAGTCACGTAAGATTTTGAGTGAATTATCTAAAGACTACCAAAAATTATAAACCAATTAAATAATAATATTAATAGAAAATTCAAGTCCTAAATATAGGTTGAACATATTATTGTAGAAACTGACGCTCTTCCTTAAACGTCTAATTGTTCACTCTCAATAACTTCTGCAAAGACGGATAGAACATAAACGAGCAAGTTAAAGCATATGTTAAAGCCTAGCGATTCGTTTTCGTTACTTTTAGCGATCCGTTTTTCATTCGTTTACGAATACGGTTTAGGACAGACAAATATGTATTTATATATATATAATATATAATTACGAACATGTCTACTCTGTTTGAACCATGATTTGATACCCTATCTCCTTTTTTCTTTGTAGGCTATCAATCTGAACTATATGGTGGTCAAATAACTAATCGTTATAATCAAACAATTCAAACATGAATGAACACCATAAGTTCAACACAATTTCAAGACAAGAATTGAAATTCCTAGTCCTAGGTAGATAGATAGATGAAGTAGCTCATGTTCGAATTGAATTTCACGTTAATCGAAATTGAGAGCTCGCATTCAATCAACAATAATAATAGATAAACAAAAACCTACAGTAACGGGAGAGATCACAAGTGTTCGTTTCTCAAGTGTTTGGGTCTAATAATTCGAGCACAAGTAAAAGCAAAAATGGAGTTCAAGAAAACTCTTTACAAGAAATATTTGGTGTTCAAGAACCTTCAAATCGGTCTGGAGTTGTTCTTGGTGTGTTCAAAGGATGATCTGATGGTGGTGTGGCACGAGTTGATAAACTAAGCCGAAAGCCTGTTCAGGTATAATTGCACTCACCGCTATCGTGAATCTCGTTGTGCGCGCCAAGAGTGCTGGTGGCACAGCGAGCACGTGTGGGCCTGTTGCTCGGCCAATGCTCGGGTGACGTTGAGCCTTGTTGTGCGAAATTATCTAATGTGTTTTTTTTCCTTCAAAAATAAAATATAAATGTAGACAAAAAAAATACTCAAAATACGTAAATAATCCAATAAAGCTGTCCTTTTCTCTTGCAATCACGAATTCCATCACATCTCAGTACATTAAATTTAGTGGTAGACACAAGAAATTCCACTACTTATTCAAAGGCCTCTGAGTCAACCATTTTGTGGTTAATTAGCCGAGTCGAGTCGAGTCCAAGTGTTTTAAATTAGGCATGCCCAGTAAAATTTATACGCTCGAGCCGAGCCAAATAATTAGCTGAGTCGAGTCGAAGTGTTGAAATTAGGCACAATTCAACAAATCCTTGTGACCACCACACGTAATCTTTTAGTCATCAAATGGTTTGAAATCACAAAAGACTAGAAAAAACAACACTCCCCAATAATTAATTCAATCATAATCATCATAATTTGAACACTATTATTGATCTCAAGCTTAATTATACAATAATTTATAAGCAAATTGAAGCCAATTTTTTAAGAGTAAAATTCATAAGATGAGGAGTCCGCCGCAATATTTCGCAGCCCGCCAATTGTTGATGCAAACATGATGAAAACTCCAATAATTATACATCCCTAAAAATTCAAAAAAATAACAAATAAAAAATAAAAGCATTTAAATATCATTAATTTTAGGGGAGATGTTACGGTCCCGTAAGGAATCATTCCGTCGGGGTTTCCAACCGTTAAATCAACTATCCTCGACAGTTACATGATGATCTAACGATTACAAACCGGACGGAATGATTTCTGTAACAGGCCTGTAACAT